GGAGGAATTAAATGTGCGTCAGTGACAGGCTGCCGCGGTTGCAGGGGGCGGGAGGCGGCCAAACTTTGCTAGGGCCGGGCCGGGGCGCACAGGCACCCCCTGAGGTGCTGCAGGCAGAGCCGGGGCCAGGGGTGGGGAGCTTGGGATCCCGGGTCAGGCAAGCAGCTCGCGGCGCCTCCAACACGCATAGGGAGCCGCAGCACTGAGAGGGAGGCGAGGAGCCAAACCTTGTGACAGGCGTTGAGGAGCATTAGCATCGAGTAACGCTGTGGCCATGCAGGGCACCACGCTGCGCCGCGTAGCCAGAAGGAGCAATAGGGCTTTGGCCGTCCCTAGCGTAGTCTTTCATATCTAGAGAAAGTGGCCTGGAGGCTGGCTTTGGGAGCTGGTACCCTTGGCTCCGCTTGACACTGGGCGTGTTCCCCTGGAGGTAGTGACTTGCTGCTGCTTGGCAGGTCCCTGACACCTTAGGGCGGCTTTAGCTTCCGTACAGTATCATTGTAGGAAAAATCCTCCACTTTATCTCCGATGAAAACAATCGCCTGGTGCTGGGGAAAGGGGATTTCATATCCTGACACCAGAGAGGAAAGGGTGCTCGCTGCAGGAGCCGGAGGGAAGTTAGAGGACAGAACCATAAACTTTAACTGGTCATCTGTTTCCCCTTTTAAAAAAATAAATATATATAAGTCCTGGAGTAGTTTAACAGAATTCCAGGAAAGTGAATATGATTAAAGATACTAGATTTTCCGTGTAACCCCTTTCTGCCCTTTCAACTAAATTGGCAGGTAGGGGAGGGTAACAGAAGGTTTGGAACAGTTTTCTGACACTCAGAGAAGTGGTGGCAGAGCAGAACAGTTGTAAACTCCAGTGACAACCACATTCATAAGTGGTGCCTTGATAATGATGATGCAGTGGTTGATTGTGTGTGTGGGGGGGGGGAGAAAGGAGACTAAGGCATTTCAGGCTCAGCCATAGGAATCCAGTTAATACTGCGGTGGAAATAAGTTCAGTGCCAGTATTCTATCTCCAAAAAAGGCAACCTTGGTACAGATTGGGGGGCAAAATGGACAGCTGTGTCAGCTGCCCCAGATTCTTCCTTAGTATAATTTTGTAGTTGAGTTTCATCATTTTAGTGGATGGCCTGTTATTCATGGTGGTTTTCAATGAGATTTCAATGAGATTCAATTTCAATGAGATTCAAATGCTTGAAAAATATTATTGGCCTGATCCAAAGCTCCCTAAAATCAGTGGGAAGATTCTGTTTGACTTTGAGTTAGTCTCCATAAGGATATTACTGTGTGTTCAATTGTTTACAGTGAGGTCACATCTCCAAACAACTGACATAACCTGGTATTTATACACTGTATATTAAGCTGGCATATTGGTAAATTCAGAGTACAGCAGTGTATTGTAAGTCACATTTTGAAGGACAGAAGTCAAGGAGACATAATAGTTGATGCAACAAGTAAAGATGAGAAAGGGAAAAGACTTAAAGCAATTCTACGTTGTTGTACTGGGTCACCTTTGGGCTCTGTGCTCCATGAAACCTGCTATAGTGTTTCAGCTTCTAAATAAATGTAAAAGGTCTCAGAGAGGTAGCCATGTTAGTCTGTATCTGCAAAAACAATGAAGAGTCCTGTGGTACCTTAGGGTGCTTCTGCACTGCACCGTAGCTCAAAATAAGATACGCAATTTGAACTACGCAAAGTGCGTATCTTATTTCACTCTTATTTCAAAATAGCTTAAACAGTGCCAATAGTCTATACAGTGCCAAATTTCAAAATAATCGGCTATTCTGAAATGTTCCTTACTCCTCATGGAATGAGGTTTATAGGGACGTTGGAATAGCAAGCCTGTTATATCTGGAAATAACGGGCTTGCTGTGAAGACACAGAATAGCTATTTCAGGATACTCCAGTATCCTGAAATAATGTTGTAGTGTAGATGTAGTCTTAGACACTAACAGATTTATCAGGGCATAAGCTTTCGTGGGTAAAACCCACATCATCAGATGACTGGGAGTGGAAATTACAGAGGTAGGGGTATATATAAGAACAACACAAGAAGTTACTTGTAAAGTGTCTGACCAGTGTTAATGAGGATAATCAAGTCAGAGTGGATGTGTCTCATTCACAGCATTTGATGTGGTGATGTGAATATCAAGAGAGGGGAAATTGCCTTTAGCACACTACAAAGGCAGTTCAATCCACTCTGAATTGATTAGCCTCATTAATGCTGGTCCTACACTTGACAAGTAACTTTTGTTGTTTTTATATATACCCCCAACTGTGTAATTTCTGTTCCAACTCATATGATGAAGTGGGTTTTACCCATAAAAGCTTATGCCCTAATAAATTCGTTAGTTTCTAATGGCATACATACACTAGGAAATTATTTCAAAATAACATTTGAAATAAAAATTCTCAAAATAACTATTTCAAAATAAGCTTATTCCCCAAGGAAAGCAGGAGTTTTTATTTCAAAATAACCAGCCCTTTATTTAGAAATAACGGGCTTGGTAATGTGGACGCTCTGCTTGTTACAGTAAACTTCCAATAATCCGGCACTTTTAGGATCCGGGGGTGCCGGATTATCAGATATGCCAGACTATCTGAAGGGAAGGCTATGAGGGGTCTGGGGTGGGGTGGTGGGGGATGCCAGCCCAGACCCCTCATAGGCCCCCCTTCCGATAGTCCCGCTCT